AAAAAACAAGGGATATAATATAAATTAAACAATTAATTATAAGGATAAAAAATATAATTTAAAAATTGAAAATGATTTGATTTTTAATATTATCTTGAAATGCCAGAGGTTTCTTGAAAGATCGTGACAACTTTAAATTTATACTACCAAAATTTAAAGATTGTTTGACAGTTGTTGAATGGTTTGGTGTATAATAATTAAGTGATCAGACTGATTAAGAGGCTCTTATGATATAGTGCAAAATGAAATATAATTGTTCTGTAATTGTTTACAATGGAATCAGGGTGTTGAATGGTTAAGGGAGACATAAGATACAAAATAATTTAGAGGATTTTAGAACCATTAAAATGCATACTTTTTTTTTGTTAAACAAGATTCACCTTTTAGCGAGTCAAAATCTGCCTCTTAATGGAACTATTAAGAAGTAAACAAAGAGCCCTTTATACCTCTTATTTTTTTCAACAATAACCATTTAACATACTTAATAATATAGTATAGATAAAAGAAAATCATCGTTCCGTCATTCAAATCCCTATAATCTCTTGAATTCAAATCATAAAACCGAATTCCCCTATAAAATGTTATTTCGTTTACAACAATCAATTGCATCATCAAACATTTCTTCAATCCCGTACTTGAACTCGAATCCCGTCCCCAAGAGTTTCCCAGACGAGACACTAGGGAACTTCATCACTTTCTCGACATCCTTCAAAAAGCTTTAAACACACCATAATTAATACCGTTTTCTTCTTCCAACCAATAAGAACTAAACGGGAATTATAAGATATGACTCAGAGTTGAGTTCACGTAAGACCAGCCTGTTTCCATGATACCACATTTTCACATTTGAAACTCTACAGCAAAACATTGTGAAATTTAAAAAAAAATTCAAACCTTCACAGCAAGAACACTACGAAGGTTATCTTCACAATCCAGTATTTTGCTGTATAGTTTCAAGTGTAAAAATATATGTTCTCACAGGTCCTATGAAAACAGACTGGTCTCACATGATTTCAGATATCAGTACTTACTCAATATTTGGAATTTTATATTCAGGATATCTTGTTGACAACAATTTGTACAACTCCTCAATTGTGATGCCCATTTTTGAACAAATATACCTCCCTTTGGCATTTGGGCTCTCAAGAAGATGAATGTGTGCCCTTGCCACGTCATCAACATGTACGAAATCCGTTTTTACAAGCATCTTGTAATTTTCGGTTTTACCTACAAATTATTCTAAACTTTGTTATAATATAAATCGTATTAAACTCGAAATCGTTAGCAATTGAAAAACACGTAAAAACGGGTTTTTTTTAATTAAAAAAAACCCGTTAACTCACCAAAGATCATAGCCATTGAGACGTACACGGAACCGGGGCAACGAGGTCCGATAAACGGACCATGAATATAATTTGGAACGACAGTCACAACGTCCAATCCTTTATTATCGGCGAAATCAAGTATTCTTTTCTCGATGATTGTCTTGGAAATGTAATACGGAGCGCCAAAATCCTTATAACGACCACGGATATAATCAACGTCGCTCCAAGATTCCTCGTCTAAAACCTCGGTGTGATTTTTCCCGTTTAACACGACTGCGGACCCACTAGACGTGTACACGACTTTCTTTACCGTCTTCGAATCAACACATGCCTGTAAAATACCCAAATTGCCCTTCATCGCTCTTTCGGTTACCACTTCTTCGGGTTCCTTACCTACAAAATCCATTGGATGTGCAACAAGAAATACACCGATGCAACCTTTAATTGGTGCCTTGAAAGTGTCCGGTTTGCTTAGATCTGCGTCGAAAATTTTAAGCCGCTCTGATGCCCCCGGTAAATTTGTAAGGTAGCTCACGTCTTTCCTCAAGCCTAGCAAAAATAATTGTCTTAAAGAGTTTTTCGAAGTATATAATTATTATATATAACAGAACTGACATACATTCTTCATCTTTTACGAGACTTGAACCCTTTAACATTCATCGATGTTGGATCTACTGATATCGCTTGATCAAAAGGACCCTTTTTTATAATTTCGTACAATTTGGATGATATACATAACGAAAGAAGGAAAAAACCTGAATCAGTAGTTCTGACAGTAGCGTTTACTGAATATCCGTCATCCAGCAACCTCTTGATCATCCACGACGCTAAGTAACCTCGACCTCCCGTTACACAAACCGTACCTTTCTTCATCGCTTTTACGCTCGGTGTCGATCTAATTTCGGGTTTAAACTATATGTGTTATTGGAATGATGATCAAGTAGATGAATGATGTTAACTTTGAACTCAAATAGAAACCTTATAAGAAAACTGATTTCATGTGATTCCATGCAAAGTGACGTCGTTTTGGGTTTGTAATTTGGTCAGACATATTCCTGTTTTTGATGTCGGCAGCAAGCACAAGGGCACCAATTAAGGAATTTGAAAGCCACAAGAAACAAAAAGCGATATTTAAGGAGTAATCTATTCAGCCCTTTACTTATTATATTATTACCACTTATAATTGGGGAAATTTTAATTAAAACACTTATCAACTTATTATAAGTCATGATAGTTTAACTTTTTCAAAAACTCATTATTATTGGTTTGACACAGATATAAGTTGTTTATCCAAACGCTCAAAAAGACTTATTACCGGTGTCACACCTGAATAAATCAATAAATTGTTTTTATAACCAACCCCAAACACCCCCTAAGTTTTAAATTTAAAATGATTAATTTATAAATTTTTAATGGAAAATTAATTAATATTCATATTTTGAATGATTAAATTTGTGAATTTTTTTAATAAATAAATTATCGGGGGTTTTTTGGTTACTTACATCATTCTAATCTAAAAAATTTACATGTAACTGGAAGAAAATACGTTTTAATATAAAAAAGAAAACAATCTGACTCAGTTTTTACCTTTCTCAAACCTTACGTTATATGAACCCCTTGCAACCAACATTGTCAGTCCTCATCAAACCCGATGCCTTTGCTTCCCTTCAGCCCTCGCCACTCCTTATCGCGCAATCGTCATCCGCTCTTTATCAACGCCTTTGCCCCCCCGCCATCAATTTCCTCTTTTAGATGGGTTTTTTGTTTTTCAAGTATTTTCAATTTTTGAATTTGTCTATACGTACTCTGTTAAATTGTTGTAGAACAGTGAGAACTAAAAGACTAAAGAAAAAACAAATCAAAAAGAGAGAGATCAATAGCAGGGGCCAACGACAACGATAGATAGTGTTGGTCGTGATTGGGTGATGACTAACACAGAGATGTCAATGGGGCCGAGTACCAAGGATCGCAATTTGCATCACTGTTGGGGAATAAGATTTCATGCTCGTCCTCATCGCGGAACGGGGATCCTCATCAGAGAATCGGGAATTTTTCCCGGTCTATACAATTTAATTTTTTATGTTATATAGATGTTAATTTTATGTTTAAACGACATATAATGCTAAAGTATAATTACTCAAATATTAATGTGTTACGTTTGTGCAAGGTAACATAAAAAAACGTAGTTCAAACACAAATATATCAATTACAATATATACTTAACGATTGAAATTTATATAATCACGTCGTTATATCACTAAAAGTTTGTCATGAGCAACCAAATTAATTATATAACTTTTTTACAAGTTTTTCATCCTGGAAACTTGATTATATTTATACATTATATATTCTCATTGGATTTCTCACTATACTATTTACTTAGTGTGTGTGTGTGTATATATATATATATATATATATATATATAGGCTTAATCAAATGAGAACTAATTAGTTTGTGGTAATGGTGAGGTCCAATCTCAACCACAAATCAATAGATAAATTAGGAGATTTATAATTTTGGGAATTTTTAATTAAAATTTTAATTCAAGGGCATTTTAGGTATTTTCTCTCCTCTCTTCTCTCTCCGTCTCCGGGCCTCTGTCCCTTGGCCTCCGGCCACCGTCCTTCGGTGATACCACAGTGGTATCATAATGCATCTTATATGTAATTGGGTATCACACTGGGGTCATCACACTGGGGTCGTTTGTGCGGTTGATCGGATATGTAACACAGTGGTATCACAATGCATCTTATATGTGCTTGAGTATCACACTGTGGTATCACCGGAGGACGGTGGCCGGAGGCCGGAGGACGGTGGCTGGAAGACGGGGACGGAGAGAGGAGAGATGAGAGAAAATACCGAAAATGTCCCTGTATTAAAGTTTTAATTAAAAATTACCAAAATTATAAATTTTCTAATTTATCTATTGATTTGTGGTTGAGATTAGATCTCACGGTTACCACAAAATAGTCAGTTCTCCCTTGAATGAGCCTATATATATATATATATATATATATATATATAGAGAGAGAGAGAGAGTTTGTTTCAAATACAATCTATCGCATTTGTACAACCAATGTAACCCTATGATTTGAATATTTATGGAATATGAATATGGTTCATTAATTATGATCAATACTTTATATTAGGAAACAATCAGAACTTCTATGAAATCATATATTAATCAAATGAAATGGACGGTTGAGATTGGGTTGTACTGGTTGCACAAATGTCAAATGTTGTATAATAACAACCTCTATATAAATTCAGGGTCAACTCGAAGGGTATCCCCATCCCCGGTTTATAAATTCGGGGATTCTCCATCCCTGGTCAAACTAGGGTCGGGTATCGATTCCTGTCGGGTGCGGGATTTTGGCCATATCTGCTAACACATAATGCGTTTGAAGAAGGGGTGTTGAATACCTTCCCAACAAATTTTCCACTTTTAAAAACAAAGAATTACATATTTGTAGCTGAAAACTAGGAAAGTAAGACCGTATACTAAACAACGTGGCTGGTGACAAATTTCTCACTAGGAGATTCTAAAGAAAAAAAAGCATAAGAAGGCATTGTTTCTGATTTGAAGAACTGAGATAGTATTCATATATTAACGTCAATTCGTCTTAAAAACTATCACTCATAATTTCTGTCAAAACGGGTGATTTGCAACATTTTTGAAGGTCGTCTTTTATAGCCGACGACACATTAAATGTTGCATGCACGACAACTTTTGTGTATGTCTTCATCTGATTTGTTAAGTCAGTGCATGCTTCTACTATTCATTTCAGCCTTTGAGTATATCTTAAAGATATGATGTAGAGGGAACAGTAAAAAAACATGATACTATTAAAATATAATTTAGAACTCACTATGGCCGACATGCTCCCATACCAGGACATGAATTAGTAGGAGTTGATGAGTCAAACCTGCTAGTTGAGTTTACACTCCAAAATCGGCTTGCTAAAACAATATTTCTCACACTGTTTTGACTTATCTGGCATCGATCATCAATCGGCTTGGCAATTTAGTACGGGTTGATGTTGATATTGGGTTCACTTCAACTAGCTTTCGATTTTGTGCTTTCGACCAATAATGAATACAATATTAAACGAAGTTGGGTGAAAGGAGATGGAGACCAAATTTGTAGTTTGCATTTTTGGTCTCTATATATAAGAGTAAGGTGCCGTTTATCAAACGCTTAACCGGATAAGTGTTTACCAAGTCACTTTACTTTATCAGATGAATATGGTAAGGACTAAAAATCTTACCCGGTAAGAGAGAAGCTAAGAATCGAGAGTCTTACCCGGTAAGTGAGGACGATGACTCTTACCATGGTTAGCGCTTACCGGGATAAATTGTTGCATACGATGCGTTTTAGTGAATAAAATCTTACTCGATAAATAAACGATAGTGTTGAATTTTACCGGTAAGTACCGGGTAAGTGTTTAGGTAAACGGCCTCTAAGTGTATATATATTAAAGTAAGTTATATTTTTGGTCCTTGTAATTTATATATTTATTGCAGAAAAATATTACTCTCTCTGTCTTAAAATAAATCTATATATATATTAAAGGAGAAACCAAGGTTGATGACTTGGCTTCTCCTAAGGGTTGGAAACTTATTTATCTTTTTTTCATTCATCCTCCTTTAATCTTTTTTTTTTTAATTTCATATTCTAATTTCTATAAACATTGATTATCATTTATGTTTGCATTTAACACAATCTTTTCATTTTCCCTAACTYTTCTTCATAAATTGTTCATCATTCAATCTCTTTTTTTCCATCTCCATCACTTGATTTGTTTTCATTTCATTTTTCTCCATCTCTATCACTTGATTTGTTTTTCATTTTATAAATTGTTATTTTTCACCAAATCTATTTTCAAGTTTATTTCGGGAAGACCAATTCAGTTATGCGTTCCTTTCTATTTTTTTTTGGGATTTTAGAATTTTGTTTTTTCTTACTTTTATCTTCTATGATTTTCCTAAGTTTTCTCAATGAAATGGAGAGTTTGTTTTTACAACACTTTTAGAGTTTTCGTGGCAACAATGGTTCGATTAATCGTTTGATGATAGAATCTTGAAAGTATTACAAACCATGAAGTAGCCTCAACGAATTTCAACATATTTTTGTAATGGTTTTCTTTTTCAAGTATACTTTGAGAAAACTAATGTGTGTATGTATTTCTTTTGACTTTTATTAATATTTTTTAAGTTTTTAWGTTACAATTTTTCATGTAGCATCACCAAACTTCAACATGCCCTTTTTAATGGTTATATTTTTTTTCAGGTTTATTTCGAGACAATTAATCCGAGTATGCAATTCTTCTTAATTTTGTTAGAATTTTAGAGGTTTTCTTTAACTAATGTCTTCTACATTTTTCTTAAGTTTTTTT